ACTAGTAGCGATGCCCTTGTTTCTAGTAGCTCCTTGTTCCTAGTAGCAGTGCCTTTTGCTACTAGTAGCGATGCCCTTGTTTCTAGTAGTGTCTTGTTCCTAGTAGGCCAGGAGCTACTAGTCGCGTCGGTGAACCTCAACGAGTCGATGTCTGGAGGCCAGGACTTCACAAGCTCCTGTCCGGACCTTGGAGCCAAGCCACGGAAGGTCGAACATCACCCCGACCACCCAGACCTACGGGTCACCGGACTTGCGGGTTGGACATGTCTTCAGTGGTTCAAAGGGAAAACGCAAGATGAATTCGAGTCCGGTGGTTGCAACACCACAGGCATTTGACACGTTTCACCCTTTTATTGGAACCTGAGCGACTCTATGAACCTCCCTGTTCATGTTTAGTGGTGGGTTTGTCATATGAATGTTTTGCAGAACCCAAACCTTTTGGTGTGCGATTAAGGTTGCGTATTTTTTTTGTGGGAGATGCCGAGACGGGCGTTGCAAAAGCTGCGCAAGCGAGCCCAAGTATCAGCATACATGTCATGTCTGTCCGTGGTTTTTGGTCCATCCGTGGTCCGAGCTGTTTGAGGTCTACAGAGAGATGCAGATGCACGTCCGATGGCCGTGGATCTTCTCAGCCACTTGGACGAAGTTCTTTGACTGGGTGGTATATGGGAACTGTACATGGAACCTCTTGCAAGGACGTAAGGGTAGAGGGCATGGGCAGAGGGCATCGCAGAGCCGACGGCCAAGAGCTAGCCCCTGTGCCAACTGCCAATGCCTAATAAGAGGAATTTGATTGGCATTGCTAGCGCTCGCTGCTGTGGAAGGACTAATCAGTCGACAAATAGCCTCCAAACAAAAGCACAAGTGCTGCGATGGTGAAGAACAGTCAATGTTCGGCAATAAAGACGGATTAGAATCAGGGACGCGCATTAGAATAGGGAGGCCCTCCATGAATGTTTGGTCTGCTTGGAGGGCCCTCGGAGCCAGCTACATACGAAGGATTGCTTCCAGTGCCCCAGATGACTCCAAGGCCGTTCAGCTCAAGGCTCCATGAGGACTTTTGTTGATGCAACTTCTATGCCGTTCTATGCCTCCCACAAACCACCATTGTGCTGACCAGAAAGCGAAGCTCCGCACCAGTCTTCCTATTTGGGGAGATGTGTTCAACTCCTGCCTGAAGGAAACCCTCCAAGATGCCTCGCAGCCGTGCCCGTCAGAAGGATGTCATCTCGTCCAAAAAATAAATGGGGGCCACCAACTGGGTGTCCACGGTCGCCTTTGATGCATCATGAGGTCATAACTTTATTTCTGTGAATTAGCATTGCCACTCGGCGGGAATCTGCGTGACGGATAGGATCCTTCGAGGGTAGATCGAGGGTACAGAGAGGTGCTGTTCACTTGCGGCACTTGGGGGGTTTTACACCATGATCACACCACCTGTCCGAACACTTCCACTATCAGGAGTCCGGATTCTCACTACCAATCATCAAATCATCTTCAATCTACAAAATCTTCAAAATCTGCAGAAGTTCGGCGTTTGCCATGGTTTCTTTGGCCAGAAACTTCGGGGCATCGATTCTGCTCCCGGGTGGACCGGGTCCTCCCCGCGGCGACCAGAAGATCGATGCCCATGGTGCCATGGTGAATCACCTGAACTCCCTGAATCACCTGAACTGCCCATGGGGCAACGACAGTTCCTTGAGGCTGCCTGGTTGTTCTTCCATGGTGTCTTTGGGTGTTTTTCCCAAGTCTTGATCGGAGTCCCTCGCTCATGTGGTTGGGGTTCCACTCCACCCTGGCACCGATGGCACCGATGGCCCCAGCGGCCGAAGACACCAATGGCCGCGACTGAGGTTACCCGTCCAGAGACGCATTTAGCATCTAGAGCATCTCGACACGGGGTCAGCTAAGCGAGAAACAACTGCATGGTGTTTGACCGGGCCGTGTTTGACCGGGCCGTGTTTGACCGGGCCGAAACCATGCGACACCCATGGATGCCAAATATCTGGCCTGGGGGCAACCGCAGTTCCTTGAGGCTACAGCCTGGTTGTTTCGGAGTTGAGTATCAGTTTCGACTGGGAAGAAAACATCGTGCTTTGGTTTGCTAGTCGTGGAGAAAGGCAAGGTTACCATAAGTGGTTACAGTGTCTTAGGAAAAAGACTCGCTGGCTCATCCAGACACAAGGTCCAGTTGCAGTGTAGTGAGAGAGTGGGAACCAACAAAACAAGTGTTTTTTGGGGCCTGCCACTCTGAGCTTCAATGAAGTGATAGAGTTGTTGGACATCACATTTGTCCAGGTCTCTCCGATACAGGGATCGTCAATTGATACTAGTTGCGTGGGAGGCTACTGAACTCCATTTGATGCCATCGCTGTCCCACTTTTGCCGATGTAATGAACATCCCAGAGTCTATACAAGTTGGGTTTGTTTGAAGTGAAGACTTCTTTGGATCAGCAGATCATGCATCGAGTGTCGAGCCCGGGCTCGTCATGCAGATATGTTTTTAGATTTGTTTCTATATGCGACCTTTCCTATCCATTGTTCCTTTCCTTTCTTCGTTTCTACTAGCGATTGCCTCCAACCTACTTGCGATGGCCTCCAACCTACTAGCAACGATAATATAATACAGGTTTATGATGTATATGATTCTTTGTGATTAAGCTGACCCCCTTAGGGGGCTGACTTTACGTCCCCTTATCCGCGCGAGCCGATGGAGTCTTGCTCAGCAGGGGTCTCACGGATGCAACGAGACAGCAACCTCGACCGAGCTTGCGACTGTCACAGCTTGTTTGAAGAGACAGCAATCGTTTTCTCACGCATCAAAAGACCTTCCTCATCCATGTTGTTTCGCTGGAGGTGGATCCGGTTTTTGAAGGTGTGATATGCAAAGACTCAAGGCTCGTGCGACAGAAGCTGCTGCCGTCTGGCAGAGTACAGTTCTTTTGAAGGCAGGTTCCAGTGACGTAGTGGACATGATCTGTTTAGGATCAATCCTCTTCTTTGGGTTCTCTGGGCGGGGGCCGAGGGCGCACAGGGTGAGGGAAGCTCTGAAACCTCATATCCACAGGTACCTTCCAACCATTACTCGGAACGGAACAGTCAGTTATTGTGGTGCTTTGGTATACGCCTCCCTCCCCTGACCCCCCGTCCAGTCACCCCAAGATCGTCACGTGGGAGAGGTCATTCAAGTCCACATTGGACGACATGGTGGATGTGCCGATCTGTACATTTGTGACATCAGACTGTGGAGTTCGACCATGGGAAGCGAAAGATCGATGGAGGCCCTGAGACATGGAGCCTGGGGAAAGCAAGTCGCCATCCTTTGGGTCTGAAAACGAAAAGATGGTATCCACGGCCACGACCATCCTTCGGGTCCGGCTGGTGGTTTGAGAATCCCAGCATTGATGTTTCCTCAAGCAGGCTGGACAGGTTAGCAGGGAAAGAGAGACAAGTACTTACCTTTGGCATGAGGACCTACATCTATGGCATAAACATCTACAGTTGGTTTTCATGCTCACAGCTGACACATTCTGGTGTTTAGGGAGAGCAACTTGTAGTTAAAGGAAGGTCAGCCCCACCGGGACAACACTGGCCTTTCTTTCTTTGTATAGAGGGAATATTCCTTAGGTTATATCATGTTAGCGTCAGCGTGGATGCTTCCAAGCTCCACTGTTCGCTTGCCTCTCTGAGCTTGCC